TATTGTTATGCCCGTGCCCCGTCGCACATGCCGTGTTGTACAGACACCCGTGGTGTCACGTTGTCAAGACGCCGTGCGGTTGTTGATAGAAGACGACTGTGGGATTTTTGGGAGAGCAATCAAAACGCTCGGACGTGCTTCTCCACCGATTAAACGTGTTACGATACGATATTTCTGTACGGACGATTTCGTGGAGTTGTTCAATAAACGACTTTCTGTTTCTTATTCCTAAACTCCTCGAGTCTGTTCATTTCTACGGCTCGGGAGTGCGCGTTGCCATTCGGGCGCGATCTTGTATATCGGGCGCAACATTTTGGGGGCTCGTCCGGGATACGAGTGATGATCCGGTCACCAGTCATCACAAGGAGTTTAGGAATAAGAAACAGAAAGTCGTTTATTGAATCACGACAACTCCACGAAATCGTCCGTACAGAAATATCGTATCGTAACACATTTAATCGGTGGAGAAGCACGTCCGAGCGTTCTGACTGCTCTCCCAAAAATCCCACAGTCGTCTTCTATCAACAACCACACGGCGTCTTAACAACGTGACACCACGGGTGTCTGTACAACACGGCATGTGCGACGGGGCACTGGCATAACAATATTATCCGCTTGGAAACAACATGGCATGCGAGATCGAGCTCGCCGAAAAAAGAAGGATGTCCTGCGATTGATTCCACTTAACGCCTAGAATAGAAGAATCATCATTTAAAATAATCAATTTGCCGCCATACCCTTGTAACGACTCTAATGATTGAGGGCAATTTTTGACGCCCATTTGCTAAGCTCAAAAGATCCAGCCTTCAAGAGTTGTATAACCTGATCACGAATTTGTTCGAGCTCGTGAATGGAATCGGCTCCCGTAAGCAAGTCATAGACGTAGAAATCGCGCTTGACGCAGCGGGATCCGAGGGGAAGTTCAGACGAGTGTTGCTCCGCCAAATGGACAAGACATCTCGTGGCCAAAAATGAGGCCGCAGAAGTACCGTACGTAATCGTTAGTAGTTCATAAGTATCAACTTCATCCTCGGAATTGCTCCTCCATAGAATTCTCTGCAAACTTGATTGGGGTGGCACCCAGTTGGACACGGCTCAATTGGACACGAGCCACTCACAGCGCTTGAGACTACAAAGCTCCTAAGCACCGGTCGCTGTGATTGGTGGTGTCCAATCGAGACGTGGTCAATCGGGATCACCCCACTTGTTTGGGATGGAGCCACTAGCACCTGCCTGTACATTTTAATGATATCTGTTGATATGACGTAGCGATAGTATCGAAAACGCATTAATATCGAGGCGAGATCCTGCAGAACCACCGGGTCTACTCCTAAGACGTCGTTCAGGAAGGTCCCTGAGCAGTGGCGTAACTAAGCCTATGTGCGCCCCCTGCAAATTTATTTAGGCGCCCCCTTTTCTTCCGCCTTAATTTTTTGCATTTAAACCTTGAAAAGGTTCCACGTGTATTATGCCGCGTCGCGTCACGACACGATTTTTCACTTACCGCGCGGCAAATGTTTCGATACGGTAACGCATCAAAATAAATATCTACCCTGGGCAGACTGCCCATCATATACATACATGAATTTTCATGTAGGTAACTAGTTCAAACAAAATCAATCACAGATTCTTACAAATTAAAATTATTTGTTAATACTATGATACCTAGATGCGATCATACTCTTCATTTTATATAGTTTTTGTAAACGACAAGAAAACCACGAAGATTTTGCTCACAACTTGATTTGTTTAAAAACTATTTTTATTTTTAAAAAAATTGAAAAAAAAATTTTTCCTGTAAGTGATCAAGAATATTCTTTACAATGGCGCTGACTATGTTCATTTACTAAATTCGTGATTGTATAGTTTTCAGGGCGTTAAATGAAATTTTAGCACGAAGGTCGCCCCATAAAATAAAGGTAAAATTTCAACGCCTGTGATGAAAACAAAATTTTTTTATTTAACCGAGGGTAACAATGGCCATTTCCGAAATGGCATTTCGCCACTCGGCTTACGGGGCGTTAAATCGTCAATTTGACGATGATACTTTGAGATTGAAACCACTATTTTACTTGACCTTTTTTAATGACTCTTTATACATATTTTACTTTTTTACTAGCGCCCGGCGCCCCCGCCTTTGATGCGCCCCCCCGCACCGCAGGGTCTGCGGGGTTAGTTACGCCACTGTCCCTGAGTCGGATTTGCATGAAGCATCGAACACGACGCGGAGCTTTGAGGAGCCTCCTGCGACCAGTGATGCACATTTGGCTCCCGCGCGAGAGCGAGCGAGACAGTGAGACTCGCTGTCTCGCTCGCTCTCGCGCAGCGGCAAAGTGGTGGGGCGGTTTTCCGTGTTGCCGGGGAGCCAAATGTGCACCACTGCCTGCGACCTTAACTACACAATAGTGAGGTAGATAAAATGTCGGTGCGCTTTCATCAAGGGGCGGAGTTATCATGCGCATGTGTCCCAATGCTAAATATTCCCCTGTGAACTGACCGTATTGAGACTTTAGTGATGGATTGCGTGCGAAACGTTTTTCTAAGGACATCAACCTCTTGAAAGCGATATTTCGAGAGTCGTCTAATTTAGGGAGGAAATGTTCTTTAATGGGGAGCTTCACTAAGTATCGGCCTTGAGGATTTTGGGAAACGTTGTCGACAAAGTGCTGTTCGCAAAATCTTTCTTCGGGAGAGTAAGCACTTGATGCCGCGAAATTGTCGTCTAGTTGCCAAAGACGATTAACTTGCTCGTGCAACTGACGGTTCGTCACTATCGCGTGATTAGATTGCATTTTCGGGAGTAAGCTCGCCCTGCCGAAGTGGCCTGCCAGAATCCAACCTAATCTGGTCTTTTGTAGCAATGGATGACTGGTTGAACCGCTTATTTGTCCGACACATAGCAACTCCCAGAACAACTCGGCTCCTATCAGCATGTCAATTTCAGAGGAAACGTTAAAGTTCGGGTCAGCCAGTGGTATATTGCGAGGAAGCTTTAAGGCACTACGCTTGAATGAAACAACCGGAAGGTTTTCGGTCACTTTGTCTGAAATGATGCATTCAGTTATGGCAGTCTATGAGCTTATGCAAGACTGTAATCGTATCCTAGTAACTTGAATGGATGTCGTCGCGGAGCCGTTTACGCCGGTGATGGTAACATTTAATGGCCGAGGCTTCAGGCCGAGAGTCTCTAAAAACTGTTTAGAAATGAAATTGGCCTACGAACCGCAATCTAGTAGCACACGACATGGTAAGAAGGTGCCCCGGGAATCGAACGCGAAAACGACGGCCGTTGATAGAAAGACGTCGTTACCGTCGGAAGCATGTGAGGCGTGAGTGGACGTAACTTGGGTGGGGTTGGCAGTCTTAGAATTTTCGGACCCGTTACTACTCTGTCCTGTGGCTGCCAAGTGGGCCGACGTTGAATGCAAGAGGGTGTTATGCCTAACTTGACACACCTTGCATTTGCCTGAAGGGCATTTGCCTGCATTGTGAGATGTAGATCTCAAGCAATTGGTGCAAAGTTTTCGATTGCGTACTTCGTTTCTTTGCGGAACGGAAAGGGCTAGAAAATCCTTGCAGTAATAAATTGAGTGTTCTCCTTTGCAATAGTTGCATTTTGTTTTAATTGTCGCGGGACAAGCTAATTGACGTTTCGAATCAGATTGGGAATTTTTGGCGGCCCCTTTTGCAGCATTGTTACTTGACTTGGTACTTGCTTCCAAAGCTTGACAATGATGATTAAGAAAATCGAAGAACTGTTTGAGAGTGGGAAGATCGGATCCTGCCAAGGAGGATTGCCACTCGCGAGCTATGCGTGAGTCGAGTTTTGAAGTCAATATGACAATTAATATATCGTTCCATTTGTCACATGGTCGTTTCAAGACTTGAAGCGCGTGCAAATGCTTGGTAGCTCCATCGGAGATCTGCCTTAACTCGAGATAGTTCTCTTTAGTTAGCGATGGCAATTCCATTATCGCTCTAATGTGATTTTGTATGACAACGCGTTGATTATCATAGCGCTCCCTGCGACCATGCGACTTCGTAATTAGCATCAGATAATTCTAACGAACAGATAATGTTACTTGCTTCACCAATAACCGACGATTTGAGGTATTGCAACTTTTGTGCGTTACTGAGCGCGGAATTCAGGTGTATAACGGCATTGAACATATCTCGGAAGGGAAACCATTCATCATACTTGCCCGAGAAACTCGGAAGACTTAATTTTGGAAGCCGCACGTGAGATAACGATTCGGTAGTCCCCGACGAATTAGAAGTCGATGTTGAAACCGCACTTAACCCGCGTATCGACGGTGTGGAAATCGTTAGTTCTCTGATTCTAGCGGCCAATGAATAGAATGCCTCCTCGAATGTAATGCGATCATTGACCTCGGCATCGTCAGCGAGCTTTAGTTTGGTTTGAACCACGTTGTACTCAGTCCAATAGTTTTCTAGTTTATTTTTACGCTCCTCGAGTTGAGGTATCACTAATGCGGAAGGCTGATTTATTGAGTCCACGTAAGTTTTGATACGCGTGCAAGAAGCCTTGATAAGCCCGCGTTGTTTTCTCAGAATAGTGAGATCTTGAACCGACATAATGGCACGATTCACAATAAATAGCGGATTACCACGAGATTGATCGGTAACAACACCAAAAAACTTTCCTTACCTCGGTTGTGCGCGCACGCGCATGCGCAACGAACGTCCGCGTCGACCGTCGTTTCCTTCGATGGCGAGGTCCCGTTGGCAGCGATGATCGGTCCGGATGGCGTCTGCTGCGTCCTTGCGTGCTGCGCCCTTGCTCTGGTGGCGACTGCTTGGCGAAAAAACGTCGTCGGAGATGCGTGAGCCTCTGATGTCCGCGGGATGAACTCGGGCAAAATGGCCGCTTCCTGGCGTTGCCCGCGCTGTCCTTGTAGCGCGCGGTGTCCCTCCTTGCACTCGATTCGAGAATTGCACATGCGCGAGCTAAGTAGGTAACCAATCACGTAACTAATTCTCTATCACACTTCCTCTCTCTAGTTTTCTATAATTCTCTCGATCACATTTAAATGTTCATATAAACAATAAAATTCATGGTACATAAAACGCAGTTGTGAAATCGGAGCAAATTGGAGTGAGCATTGAACAATCGAAGCCGTGTTAATATAAAACGTGTAAAGTGTTCGGTGAATAGTAACGTGTAAAGTGTTCAGTGAAAGAAGTGGAAAAAGTGAAAATTAATATTGACGATGTCGAGAACGAAGGTTATGTTCACTTCGGAGAATAGTTAATTTGTATAAAGATATACAAATTTTCAATTCTCTGCCAGTAAACACATTTGATCTTAGCTTTGTTGCAGGTGCAGCTTCTTAGAAGATACAGAAAAATCAAGGAAAAAGGATGTCGACCCATAAATCAAATTTATGGTGTGTAATGAAGGAGTGCAATTACAATGTTACAGAGAAAAGACACTTTTTTATGTTTCCAAAGGAATGTGAAAGGTATACATTTATTTTAATTATTTTTTGAAGTATGTATAAATCAGTTATTATTTCAAATATTTATAATTTTATATTACAATATAATATATATGTGTGTACTTTTAATTTTTTAATATTCTTTTATATATATGTACATATGTATAAAATGTATGTATAATATATGTATAAAAAAACAATAATTTATATTATAATAACTATTTGTTAAATTTATAGATGATTGCAGTGGATACACGCATCTGGAAGATTTGATTTACAAATGATGGGCCCAGAATACGCTCATCGCAACTATCGACTGTGCCACTTGCATTTTGAAGAAAAGTGGTACAAAATAGGCAAATGTAGAGCCAGTCTTCTTCCTAATGCTGTTCCAACAATATTTTTTGGAAGAAAGTAAATAATAAATTTTTTATAAAGCATTTTCTACTCTGAATAACATAGTTTTTCTTAAATAGTAAATTTATCATTTATAAATTAATATTACAATTTTTACAGCAATACACCTGTAACATCATTTCAAGAAGAAAATATAACTGAAAAAGATCAGGACAAGATTCAACAAGAAGAAACGAGCAGGTTTTTTAACTTTTATATATCTTATACAATATTCTGTTTCAAGTTGGGAACAATGCAATGTAGAGGCCAGAAAATAGACGATATTTTAGGATTTTCAAAAAAAACTACGTATAAATGAAGTTTGGTTTAATTTATATCAAAGTACATGTTTTAATGTGTATGTAGAAAAAAATGAGTCCAATTATATTTCCATTTTTATGCTTTTTAAAGCTGACACAAGCAAGGCTTTAAAAAAAAAGCTAGGCTGATTAATACGATCCCTGCAAAACGGTTGATAACGGTAAAATAAAAAAAAAACCCAAAATGAATTTTAAAATAGAGATCACTCTCGTCAGTGTCTCATCATAGAGAATTTTAAAATTTGACAAATTAAAAGAGTTATTCAACTTAAATAAAAATGTCATGTTTTAATTCTTTTTTCACCTTTTTAATTCCGTAATTTTGTTTCAATTTTTCTAGATTTAAAATTCTCTGTGATAAAACTAAAGAGAATGATATATATTCAAAGATTTATTTTGGTTTTTTTATTTTAGATCAATCACTTTGTGGAAATTGTATCAACTAGCCCATTCTTTTTTTGGAGGGTTGCTTGTGTTAGCTCAGAAAGGCACGAAAATGGAAATAATGGGTTTTTTTTCTAGATACACATTAATTATATATGTACTTTTGTATAAATAAAATCACATTTATGTGTTTTATTTTCTTTTAAAAAAGTTCTTAAATATTGTCACTTTTCCGGTCTTTACAGTGTTCCGTTCTCTTTATAATAATGACTCTTTATAATAATGATTTTATAATCTACATCAGCTGTAATTTATGTATTGTTGCAAAAACATATTTTATTTTTTATCAAGATAGGGTATTGTATTAAAAGTATGTATCATGTTTTAGCGACATCCAATCATTAAAACCTATGCCTATAGGTACAGATGCTCATATACAGACCTACTTGCCTATGGATAAAGATGTTGAAATGACTAAACCGTAAGTTTTATTAAAAAGTAGTTATATAAATGCATTTTGATTATGGTATTTTTCTCTTAGCTATTTTTAAATATAATAAAATATAAATGTAAAAGTAAAATATATGATTGTAGTATTTTAAAGTACATATAATAATATTGTATAATATACCTCGATTGGTTTACTTAATCTTAATATCGTTAATATATCTTCCTTAATACATATTTTGACATCTTTTTCTACTGTTATAGTTACATCTTTTTTTTAAATGTTCAATACATTTTTACAATAGTATTCTATTTCTGATTTGCATATAGGAGCACATCGAAGACCACATATATACCAACCATAAGCAGGAACTCCGAAAAAGAAAAACTTACAAAAACGGAATTTAAAATTAACAGCAGAAAATAAAAAACTACGCGAAAGAATTAGAAGACTCCAAAAGAAAATACAAAGGATGGAAAATACAAGAAAAAGTAAGGAAGACCCTAAGAAATACGAAACTCTTCGTCAACTAGGTTGTCAATTACTACCCGTGGATGTTTCACAATTATTATCCGCACAGATTGACGCCCAAATTAAAAGCAAACATGGAAGAAGATACACTACTGAATTTAAACAATTTGCATTACGATTGTATTTTTTAAGCCCGCGAAATTATCGAGAACTTAAAAAACAATTTGCATTACCTTCCGTGCGTGGTCTTCAATCATTTACGCAAACCTGACAAATAAAACCCGGCATAAATAATAATGTTTTTGATGTTGTATCAGTAAAATTAAATTCATTACCGCCTTTAGAACGGCATTGTATATTGTGTATCGACGAAATGAGTTTAAAAGCTCATTTATTTTATAACATTTCACAAGATGAAATAATTGGTTTTGAAATAATTGGTTTTGAAGAGTGAAAAATCAGTAAAAACAGCCAAAAATGCTTTAGTTATTATGGCACGCAGTATTGCAGGGGAATGGAAAGTTTGACTTCCAGTTTGCTTTTGCTTGGTGGAAACAACGTGTAAATCAAATGTACTAAAACGTCTAATATTTGATGTTATTCGTAAGTTACAAGGTTGTGCTACTGTACACGCTTTAGTTTCGGATATGGGGTCTAATTTCATGAAGCTGTCTCGTGAATTGGGCATTTCAACAGACAATTCTACTTTTTTAGTTGATGAGTTCGAAATATTATATATATTCGATACGCCCCATTTGATGAAAAGAACACGCGACAGTTTGTATAAACATCGTGTAGAATTTGGAGTGAACAAAGTCGCGTCATGGGCTCATATTGTAGAATTTTATAATAGAGATAACAAACAATGGATTAAAACCGCTCCAAAGTTATCTAAAAATCACATTGAACCTACCAGTTTTCAAAAAATGAAAGTCAAATATGCTGTTCAAATTTTTAGTAATCGCTTAGCTGCAGGCATGTGCACACAAATGTCCTACGGCTTTCTATCAACTGAAGCAGTGGGAACGATAGAGTTCATTGATAATTTTGACAAATTGTTTGACATTCTAAATTCTTCTTCAATAAATAGTCCTAAAGAATATGGAAAAGTATTTACTGGAAATGAAAAACTAATTCAATTTTTAGAACAAATGATATATTTCATGAAAACCATTAAAGTAATTAATAAGAATAATGTACGTGTTAAAGTTAACTGTTTGAATGCTGGCAGATAACAATTAAAAGCATAATGTTACTTTGGAACAGATTAAAATGTCATGATTTTCCACATTTACGCACACGAAGAATAAATCAAGATTGTGCTGAAAATTTCTTTGGTTCGGTTAGGCAACAGGGCGGTAATTGTTTAAATCCAACATCAATACAG